AAACTATAAGAATCATTATGAATTAACAATTCATAATAATATATTATGAATAAGATAAGATAATACGATAAGACATTGACAGGTCAACGTCTGGGTGTCGTTCGTTTCTGACTCAAGCTGTGATGACACAGTCTATACACTGGGTTTATAACACTGTCCATATATTGGCTATAATAATTGGCCTCAGTGACACCTGAGCTCTTGGAAGAGATGTGTTTTAGGGAAAACAACAAACACAATGTTTGTTTTTCAGTTGTAGCAACAAGGAACACATGCACAAAAATTCCAAAATACCACAGTAATTACAGCCCTGTTTTCTAACGGACCAGTCTGACTAGTGCAGACAGCTCGGTTGGATCCAGTCCATCACTGGATCTGAAGGTCTGATCCACTTGGACGTCCTACAACTTTTTATCTCAGCATCCTGATGCTGTGCATGACTCTGCACAGACACACGTCTTCATGTGGAAACACTTACTGTGTGCGCACTCACTGTACTTGATTAGTGGTGAAGAGCATGAAACATTCCATGTTCATCTTAGTCTCGGCCCAAAGGGAGGAGGTCTGATCAAAGAGGGCTGTGATTATTAGGCACTAACACTGGAGTACCGTCCACCCCAGAGTCTGGACCAGAGCCCACTCCACCACAGTAGATGGAGTGAGTTCTGCTGAAGCGTGACCGTCAGCTACCTGGGTGGCTGAGCGGCACTGGCTCCTCCAGGGTCCTCCTCTTTTACTCCTGCCTGGGAGCTCCAACTGGAACATCATCTCTCATCATTAACCATCAGAGTTTTCAAACTGACGGTCACATTGACCTTATGGTTGCCTTCAGTTGGTCCAGTTGTAACTGTGCGATTGTATGAATGTATCCACTCAGTAACATACTGACAAACAGCTACACAAATTGTATATTGCTCTTGGTATAATACTATTGCTACTACAGTGGAACCTCAACATGCAAGCGTAATCCGTTCCAGGACTGAGCTCGTAACTCATTTTGTCCCTTATTAGTGCTAATAACAATGGAACAAACTTTTTCTAATTGCTATAGAGACATACACACACACAAGAAAATATAATATATAAGGATTCCATACGGAAGTGATGCTTAAGGAAGCAATTGGCAACGGAAGTGTTGGCGTCAGTAAGCGTGCTTGTATCTCAAATCTTTACTCGTATCTTGAAGCAAAAATGTGCTCGAAGGCATGCTTTTTTAGAAAAACTCAGGAACTAAAAAACTTTTCTTACACATTTTTAAAAAGCCAGTCTGTTTGTTTACTTTTAAACATCTACTGGTTTAAGTTACCTGGGTGGGGACTGAAACCATGTGGCGGCCTGAGAACCTCGCAGACATTATGTAATCACTTGCCCATCTCCTGACAGCTGATGTCACATGGACATGAAATAAACTGTTTGTGTGTGTGAGTTAACCGTCAACTGAGCTCGGTCAAAGGTCAATTCCAATGGAAACTTTCCTCTATCATAACTATCATGATGAGCTCAGTCTGTCACGCAGTAAGTTGCCATAACAACATCAGTGTTTTCAGCCGTACTCTGATGAAAATGAGACCTTAATGAAAGTTTTTTTTACCACTAACCCGATCCTAGAACCTCAACAGTTTCAGCAAATACATGATTTCGTACTTTGTACGTGCAACCATACGCAATTGCAAAATGAGGCAAAACCACAATAAAATCAAACAGAACAGCAACATTTTATGACTTTGATCGTCTCGATCAGAGGTTGTTGGGTGTGATCTGCTGCTCCAGCTATAATGCTAACACCCAGGGCTCAGAGTCCAGGAGTCAGAGACGTCAGTCTGCAGCTCTGTGCTCTCCAGAAACAGCAACAATACTGTTATCTTTTATAGAGGGAAATCCTTTCAATTATTAACTTTATAAAAAAGATTGTTTTTAATATTAGGACCACCGTACTAGGGCAAAGCTTGACTTTAAAAAACAACCACAGCTCAAAGTAAGAAACCATTGGTCCAACTGGGTGACAAAACAGGTGACAATCGATTACTATCTGTAAAGGTCACATACATTTTGTAGGTAGGTTCTCTTCCCTACTTACAGTTCCAGCTTCTCAAGTTTACATGCCAATGTGTCCCTGTGCTGCCAGCCCTTCACACACATTTAGATACTGTATCTCTTTGCCAAGGGAAAGTAGTAAAAGTAACCTAACTGTTTGTGTACTTTTACTACGTTATCACAACCACCTGCACACGTCAGCCATTTAGATTCAATTAGATCACATTCGATTTTAATGGTACTTTGGAAAACCCATCCCTGATCTACTCTATCAGCAACTTCTCAGTGTTCAAGGTTCAAGAAAGTCATCGCGATATAATTATGTCCATAAACTGAGGTTGGATGATAGACGAGGAAACTTTCAAAGGTGTATCCTCGTCCTCGCCCAACGACTGCTGGGACATCACCAAGGATCCAGAAAAATAAAGTGACAAAAGATGAGTGCATGAAATAAAAAAAAGAAAAGTTTCAAGTGGACCTCACACACTCCTTTATATTCTGTACAACAACTAAACAAGATGTTGATAATTGCAGTGACGTAATGACTGCACACAAGGGTGTGTGAATATGGTTGCTTGTTTTCTCTGTGTGTGTTGTATTATTCAGCAGGGTGGGTTATCTCTCCATTCAGCTCTGAATAGAGGAGTGGTGTCACATGTCAATTAGGTTTTGATGAAGCGTCAGGGAGGTTTCTTTAGTCCCGTCACACTCCGCGGTCAGTAGTGAATGACTAAGCAACTGTGAAGAGTGAAACAACATGCCGTGCTAACAGTGTTTTAATATGTGATTTCATAAAACTGTCGGCATTAATGTCGAATGTTAAATAACCAGAGCATGTTTTACCATCTTAATATGGTGTAAAATAAAGAAGGTTTTAGTTCTACTAATGTATTAGTGTTTAAAGGCATGTCACGGTTTTATTGGTATGTAGACCAGTGTTTGCCAACTTCTATTGAGCCGCAGCACATATTTCACTTTAAGAAATATCCCACGATGCACCACCAGATGAAATGCCACAGGATATATGCATATGTATTTTCAGTGTGAAATTTAATCCTGTTTAGTTGAACACATTACTGATATACTCAGGAATTAAAGAAAGAAAGTTCTTCAACAGTCGAGTCTTTCTCTTCTCTTAGTTGTTATAACCATCATCTGCCACCTTAGGCAAGAATATTTAGTTGCTCTGCCTGTCACTGTCACGTAGATAAACTAGACACACTATTTGCAGTAAATAAATTATATTGTCAGAGTAATTAGAGTAGGTTAAATTGGACTTGTTCTCACGACACACTAATGTGCTGCAGCGTATGGGTTGGGAATCACCGATGTAGACAATAGGCCGATGGTCAACAGGTCATTAACTTTTCCCTCAAGATTTATTGAACGTTGTGCATCAGTGTGTAACAGTGGGGCTAGGTTTAGCTGGAGGCTAACGTGCTGCTTCAAAAATGCAATAACAGTTCATCTTTATAGGAGCCAAAGTTGTTTTTGTTATCTTGTCGGGCCAACGTACACTTCGCGATAACAGCGCATTGTAGATAAGATGGTTTGAATTAAATGTATGCCAGGTGCCATTTTGATTCAAGTTAACTATTGTTTTAAAGAGACTCTTGTAGCTGCACTTTTAGCAGTTGATTTAGATAAGAGTGGATAACATTAAAACTCCCCTAAAATATTTGAGTTTGGAGAATGTAATATTTTGTATTTAGTCTCTCTGTGTTCTTCCCGTCAGCACCGCTGTTCAGTATCAGATCAGTTTTTCACATCTGTTTTTATTCTAGCAGAATTAGAGGAGAGGTTAAATGTTTTTATTTATTTTTAACACAAAAAGTTTTAAATAAGACCTGAAGGAGAATAAAATGCTGACTTCACACATCAGCTTTTGATTCAGGATGATGGCAGAGCCAAAGGAACTTTTCCACTAGAAGTGTATGGTGGTGTGCTCATCTGCAGTGGCGCTGCCCTCTGTTGGTTAAGTGGCAGTGCTCCAGAGGTTGTGGCGTTCCTGACAGTAATGCGACTTAAGGCTGTAAATAAAAACACCCAAACGATAAGTACAAAGGTGTGTGTGTGTGTGTGTGGGGGGGGGGTGCAGGAGTAGATTTTAATGTTGTTAGTTATACATTTCTAGTTATAACTTTTGTTCTCCAATATCAACCCTATGTCGGATTGTTAGAGTGTTAGTTTTAAAGTGTTTCTACTGAGTTTTTATGTTTTTGGAATACAGCCGTACATGATTTATTTCTAGCACCTCCTACAGGAGAGGAGCCATATGCTCAGTACCTTTTTTATAGCATGAAAAATTCTGCAAACTATGTCATTAATTTCCAAAAAAAACAACTCAGTAATCAATGTTAAATGGTGTCCATTAGAGAACATAGGAAACAACTAATGAAAATTTGCATTTTACACAAATTTTGTGTGTTTGGCTCATTTTTCACCTGCATGGGCTCTTAATGAACATTTTGTGTGTTTGGCTCGTTTTTCACCTGCATGGGCTCTTAATGAAAATACTGGCTAAAATACTTACGCTGCCAAGTAATGAGGGGTAATAAACACAGGTAGTTCTGCTGAAAAAAAAGAAAGAAAACTGACCGCTGAATTTGTAGCCCAAACTAAAATATGTTTTACACTCATAAATACATGTAAATAAGAAGACAAAAACCGTCTCTTGATTGGTGACTAGTACTGACACTTTAGGAAAATAGTCTCGAAATAAAGTTTGTTGTTATGCAATTTTGCCCTAACATCAGTAAAAACTGTAATATTTTACTGTATATGTTTTTATCACTAATTTTTACATTAACATTTTTAAAAATACAACATGGGTATATGGTATTTGAATGAGAAGAATCTCAGCCAATCAGGTTCACAGACGCTCCCACAGAGACGCTCCACACAAGCCTCTCCCCCTGCTGTTAGAAAAAAAAACAACAACAACAGGGCTTTCAGTTGGCTCTATAAGTAGAGGAGCCAGCGCTCACATCTGCACTTCAGACTGAGGCGTGGTGCGTCAGTGCAGACAACTGGACTCACTCTTCATCCACTTTGACTCTTTCACCTGCTGACCCACTCCAGCTCCAACCACTGCCAACATGCCAAAGTGTCCCAAATGCAATAAGGAAGTCTATTTTGGTAAGAATCATTTATTTTACTCTGTTTTTAAACTTTACTGCATTTCCTGGTTGCATACGCAGGAGCAGTTTTTTTTTTTCTTTTGCAACAGGAAACTGAAATGAAGCAATGAGGTGACATGAAGTGAAGCAACACATGATCATCTCATGGTCTCATTGTAATTTCATCTGTAAAATATTTGTTGGTTTGATCAATCTTTGGTGGTTTGCAGAAGTTGCATTTAACCAGCTGCTTTACCCTCAACTGCATATAAAGGATTGAATTATATGTTTTAAGTTTAACGTAAGTTATTTTTTTTAAAAGTGCGGGAGTTTATGTTGGCCCAAACTGTGGCTCTAAGGCCACTTGTTACTTGGCTTTGGTCTACATCTGTCTACAGCTGATTTTCAACACCAGTGAAATATATTCTGACATTGTTGGCCTTTTTTGTTTAATTAATTAATTTTTTTGCCAGATTTCTGATCTACTAGCTGTTCGCTATCGTCCATCTGATCAACTTTATTTTGCTTTTGTGATATTTTCAACAGTCTACTCTGGTGATACTTTGTGAACTTTTACTTTTTTTCCTGTATTTTATTCTGTTTCTTTACCTAGCATTTACTATTTACTAAAAAAACCAAAACAAATAATAACAAACATTTATATGTATTTGTTTATATGTTAAATTTTTACAGACTCATTACTGATTTCACTGACTTTAGCAATTTTCTTAGATAAGCTAGGTTTTTACTTATTTCGCTCCTTCAGTTTGTGAATGACCTGGACTTTTCCTCCCGTTTAATCAAATTTGACCATGAGCATTAACCCTGGACAATTGTGAAACCATATTATATTACAGGACTTTTGATTTATACATTTTAATTTCTGGGTTTTCTTCGGTTTAGAAGTCACGTCAGTAATGCTTTGTTGCCTGCGTGGATTGAACTGTCTTTCTTACTTTCCTTCTTTCTGCCAAATTAACTACATGAGTGATGAGAGGATGGAGCAGAGCAGGCAGATTCCCTGTGTCTCATGGGGAAACCATCAAAGCATGGAGCACTCAATGGAACAGATCCATTTTACGATCATCTTAATCCATTTACAACATGTTCTCTTGCTCTGTAGAGAGACGAGGTAGAACTGAAGCCAAGTCTCTGGACTGTCACCCAGATGGATTTAGTCTTCATAGAGACATTATTTTACCGTCCCTGGTTCTAATGGATAAACCTTCCTGCTTCGAGCCAAGTCATTTGTCTCAGCCAGACATATTCCATGAAAACACTTTTTGTCATATACTCTACGTCTCATATGCCGGAATGAGGGAATTTAAAATACAGCGGAGGGAAAATAACCTGGAGATTCAGTGAAGTTGGATTTCCTTTGGAAAAAGTAGCACTAATTTGGAAAACACCAGCACGTGCAGTTTGTCCTGTTTCCACCAGAGGTCTGTAATGGGACTGTTTTGGTACTAAAATAGTTCTTGCTTCAGATGTTGGAACATTAAGGACCACAGTAAAGTAGCATCTTCTCATTGGTCAAAGACTTTCTCTGCAGCTAAAACACTGAGAAACACCATGCCCTGCAAGTGTAAAGTTGGGAAACACCATGCCCTGCAAGTGTAAAGTGTCGGGTCGTTGCCTATTGTGGGTTTTAATTTCAGTTTTTTTATTTTTTCTGTGTTTTCTTTGAACAAATTAGCCGAGAAGGTATCATCACTGGGCAAAGACTGGCATCGACCCTGCCTGAAATGTGAGAAGTGCAGCAAGACTCTGTCGGCGGGGAGCCATGCTGAGGTGAGATCAACACAGAGGACAACAGTGGTCCTCGCGCCGGTTTCAGGAGGCAGAAATATTTGGTTAAATATCACTCTTATTAGCTAACATTAGTCTAAACATGCAACTGTTTATTTTATAGAATGGACCATGTGACCTGTAGGGGTGGCTATGGCTAAGTAGTACAGTTGTTTTACACATCGCGGGTTATGGGTTAGATTCTAGACTTGGTAAGTTATGTGGCGCCCCCTTGGCAGCTGTGCCGACAATAAATAGCTCAATGATTAATGAAGTCCAAATAAATTCAAATCTGACCATAACTTGGTTCTGCTCTAATTTACGAGTTTGTTGTTGTGACACACCTTAAATAAATGTAAACTCAACTCTTCGTTCTACAGCACGAAGGAAAGCCTTACTGCCACAAACCCTGCTACAGCGCTATGTTTGGACCTGGTGGTGAGTACAATGGTCTCCTCATTATCACTGGTTTTACTTAACAAATGGTTTCAGGTGCACCTGCTGAGGGTCGGCTCTCTCCCTCAGAGTCGTCCAGCGAAACGCCCAGTAAACACACTCCATTAACTGACAGTGATCACGCACACAGACACACGAAGTTTGTGCTGCGTGTTTAGCAAACTTCAACATAGATGTTAGTTGTCCAACCTAAACCTCCTGGCGAACCCAAATGAAAATGAAATGTCCAGTTCCTCAAATTCCCAACAAACACGTCATTGTTTTTCTTGCAGGATTCGGTCGAGGTGGAACCGAGAGCTACAAATACTAGATAGATCAGGTAAACACACACCACTCATTCATCCAACCACCAACCACCCATTTGCTTACATTTGTCTTTGGCATGTATTTTAATAAATTTGAACTATTAATCAACCACGACTTCTTGCAAATCAGCTGTAAACACTGACGTGTCTGTTGTCGCCCCGTTGACAGGTTTAGGACTTGAACAAAATGACGTTGCTTGGAAACTGGATCGAAGACGACAGCTTTGCAAATGATATAATAAAAAACTAATAATAATGACAATAAAATCCAAAAAGCAAACAATGTTCTCCATTTCAGTTTCACCTCATATGATCTGTCTAATTCATTCTCCATGTCATGTAATAGAGTAGTAGTCTTTTGGTAGCTGTGGTTGTTCTTAATGCGGACAATCTGATTAAACATTTATTAAAACATGGCTCATGTTTCCTTCCCTTTGTTATTTATAGCCACTGTCATGTCAGAGTGGGTGTGACTCTGGTACACAGGGGATCGTTGTAAAAGTCAACTTGTATGTAAACATGCAGATGATCCATCCATCCATCCATCCAAATACCTGGGATTACGCATCAAAAGACAGAAGGACTTGACAGGAGAATGTACAAAGATTCTCATGTCATGTTTACTAGCTTACTGACCTGGAAATTTTTGTTTCACTGTCTGCTGAGAAAACCATCAATTGAAACACACTCTGCTTCATCATCTAAAACACTCGCCTCTGTTTTATTACCACCTTATCCTTTTACAGCATTGTGTCCAGAGGCCATAGTCTGGAGAAAACCAGAAACCTGGAGCCAAGCTGTTGGTTTGTCAACAAGGGTTTACACAAACCTGTTAATTTAACTGTTATTTTACTTTTTTGCCATAAGATGGAGAAAATGTGGGCCATACATAGGTTTACGGTGCGTACTGTAAGTTCAGTGGCTGCATGGAACCTGCAGATATACGTGTCCCAGTTTTCATCTTAATAAATCCTTCGTGCTACAATGCTAAAGGTAGCTTACCTCGGGCTATAAGTAGCTAACAGATTTATCAGCAAAGTTGAACAGGTTAAACATGCCACCGATTGCAATTTTAAAAAAAAATTGTATCAACAAATGTTTTCGTCTCCTTCATCATTAACTTAAAAACTAAGTCAACTAGTGTGTCATCTCAAGAAAAGAAAAAAAATCTGTTTTTGCAGATTATTTATCAGAGCTACAAAATAAACTTCAACAATGCTCTTCTTGCTCCTGTTCAACTTCAACAATGCTCTTCTTGCTCCTGTTCGTCCTGCTACAAACCTCGACTGGTTACAGAAGACTTTCAGCAGCGTTTCTCAGCCTCTATCGTCTCTTAAACACTTCATTACTTTACTTTCCTCCTCTCTCTGCTCCTGCTGCTCCAGATTTGTCTTCATGCTAAAAGCTCTCAGATGGAAACAATCAGGCTACTGCTGCTTCAATAAACTAACAGTGGGTTAAAACTGGCCCAGGTCCCAAAACAGCCGTCTCGTGAACCACCGCAGATTAATATATTTTCCATTGTGACTTAAGTTTAGTTGGGAGTAACAAACGGTATTACAAATACAAACGATTTTTCTTTGTTTGTCCTCCAGAAATTACTCATGAATTCTTCACTAAAAGCTTTTGTAAACAATGAAATCCCCAACAGGCCCTACCAAGATCAGAGAAAAAAAAACATGAATCACATTTGGAATATAAATCTCCACATTTTCTTTTTCATTCTCAGGTTGTTGCATCAGTAGGTTATGATTTAAATGGGATTTTCTTACTTAATGCCTCCTAGATTGGTAATTACAAGTTGTTAGTAATCTGAATATATTAATGTTAATTCAAAATGGTTGGTAAAACAAAAATAGTTTAACGGTAGGCTCTCAGTTGCCAGTGCTAATTGCTACACTGTTTTTATTATTGCTGAAACAAATGTTACATTTGACTATGAACTGTATAAACCTTTTATGAAGTGAGTCTAGTGTTGATTCAACCAAATTAATTATTTTTTAAAGAACTGTACGCAAAAATTTCAGTCATACATAGAGTAAGTTAGGTGGGTTAGCTTAGCATAAGATGGATTCTATTACAAAGGTAGAAAAGCTACATGTTTATATCCAAAACTAACAGAATTTAACTATAACTTTAGACTTTGAAGGCAGCCATAACTAACTAAGTTGTAACTAACATAGTCCAGTAGTAGTAGTCCACTATGAAATGCTAGTGACAAAACATGAGACGAACAACATCTTAGGCCTTGATTAGCACCAAGTTAGCTTAGCATAGATAGGAAAAAGAATTAAGGTTACATACCTCTGTCCTAAGGTGATAAAATCTGTCACCCAGCACCTTTAAGTTGATTTACCCCTGAGTATAGCTTCATCAAGGCTGTCATGATATCTGTACTAGTTCATCAGACACCAGCAGCCAAAACATGTCCTATTCCTGTTCTTGCTACCTATGCTTTTGTTGTATTTAGTATTTATGGGATCCCAAAAAATAACTGCTACAGGTTAAAAAAAAAGGTTTTTGATTTTTATTTTATAGTCCTATTCCTGTTCTTGCTTCCTAGGGTATCGTTGTATTTAGTATTTATGGGATCTCAAAAAATAACTGCTACTGGTTAAAAAAAGGTTTTTGATTTTTATTTTATGACATTTTTTTAACATATGGTAGTGATTTACGGCCTGTCCATGAAACTAATGTGAATTAAGTCAGTTAGTTTCCCAATTCAAATTTGAGTTTTTTAATGAAGTGGACAGCCTTCATTTAGCTGCAGTCCACATCATTTCTCATCACAGCAGCAGCAAAAATAAACAGTCCCTACAGCAGGACCGAGCTTTATCTCACCTTTATACAATGTGGATGTGGACATACAGTAACTGAGTTAAATGGACTTTGAGCTCTGTTCAAGTCTATAAGTGAAAAAAGTGTTCAGCAGCACCACCGTCACTTCTTTGTTATTTTAAGTATTTATTTTGGATCAAATCTGTCTTACTGGTCCAATCACATTCTACCCTGAAACATGTTGCCTTCAGGGGATGATCCCACCCTGCAGCACTGTCTTTGTTTATGCTGCTGGTTACATAATCATAGTCCACATCAGGCTATTTATAGAGAGCAAATATCATGTCATATCCTGATATTGTTTTAAGGCTTTAAGGCTTGTGGCAAAACAGGATACCAGAGGCATTTTGGTTTGTTCTCCCCCCTGACCTTAATAGAAAACCGGCTGCTGTTTATTACACCTGGTGTTCAGGGTTACAGTGTCTTTATTTGCACAGATGATGTCAGACCATAAGAACCTGGGATTCCTGAGGCGCTTGAATTTGAATATTATGCTTCAAAGTTGGCAAAAATGGTTGAACATTGATTCAAAAAGGTGCTTGAATGTTGTAACTCTATTGAGCAGAGCAGTATCTTAAAAATGCCTCAAAATATTAACTATATATAAATATGAACTAACTTTTATAAATATAAGAAACTGCTACATACAGCTAGATGTTGGTCTCAAAAATGACATAAAGTAAAAATAAATAAAGATGAAGTCATGTAAACTGTGCTCATTTCCTCCTGTAAACACACTGTGCTTTGTTCTTCAGAGTCGATTGTTTGTGCAGATGAGCCGTTCAGATAAAGGCGCTCTTTATCAGACCGTATCAGTTCCACCAGCACCACACCCAAAGATATCTGCAAACTGCCCTCACGGTTATATATACTATAATCAACAGCCTTTCTACAGTATTTAACATGCTGCAGTCTAATGAATAACTCATGGAGATATCACTGTTGGGTGAAGATCGAAGAAGACTTAGGCTGACCTTAAAGCTCAGGGATGACCTCCTGACTGAGATGACCAAGTTGTTCGCAGATTAAAATTTTCTTTTGGAGGTAAAGTGTAGTAAAACGTACACATTTCATTTCCTCAAAAAACAAAAGCAACAAATATCCCACTGGAACAACAAAGCACCAGGTTGGACTGATTAGAGACCAGGTGATCAGGACAGAGTGATTGCAGCCAGGTGTGCTCATTGAAGGTGAAGGTAGAGGCTGAGCTTCCAGCACTGCAGCAGAGAGGTAGAGTCAAAAGAGCCAAACTTATGGCACAGATATATCCTGGTAGATATCAAATACACGGGTGTAAGCCAAGCAACAATCCAAAATTACTCCAAACAAATGTTCTGTAAATATGTTTTTTTTACATTACATCTTGCCAGCATGTGCCATATATGTGTTCAACAGTAGCAGACCACCCAAGAGGCCACCATCCCATGCCATATGTGGGCCAAAGCATAGTGTTATATTGGAGAGATATGGGCCACAAATGTTTTATTACGTGGGAAGTCGTTTCACAGCTGGGGGGGTTGAAAAAAATAATCCAAAGACAGAGGCAGAAGGTCAGGAGACAGAACAGAAGAATCCTGTCATCTTCTACCACCTTGTAAGGACGGCTGAAGCAGTAGCAGTAGGTGAGGACACGTCTCAGCTGTCGCTGGACAAAAGATGGGATTTATCTCCGAGTGTCCTCTTGTCCAGTGGTTTTCAAAGTGGGGGCTGCCACACGCCACCAGGGGGCCACCAAAAATTGAAGAAGATAAGAAAAAAAATGTTCGTTGTCCTAAACAGTCTAATATGTAGAATTCTGTTATTATTGAATTGTTAAGTTCATGCTAAACAAATGTAATACATTTTGAATAGTGAATAAAAGTAAGAGGAACCATTTTAAAAGTTGACGTTTCTTTACATGTTCTGTAACATTGTCTGTAGGTTTTAAAAAGGCCGTCCCTGGATTTAACTAAAATAATCATCTTAGAGGAGCCTACAGGAGCACATTTCAGGTCAAACCTGCTTGGAACTTTGGGAAAACACTGTGATGTGGAAAAACTAATACGCAGAAGGTGACATGCAAACACCCCAAGGAAAGACTCTCTTTTTGGCCCAATTAATATAGTTGTGGTTTGAGAAATTAAAAAACAAAACACCTTTGAAATTCAGACGCTGTCCTTGGTGAGAGTTGTTTGACAATCTTCCACGGGTTCATTGATGTTTGACTGGATTTGTGCCGTTATTTAATGGATATGATCTAACAAATGCACAGGCTCACAGGATTTTAAACATAAACCCTGGCTCATGCTGGTGCATTGTGGGTAGCAGCTGGAACAGCTGAGGCCAGCCTGAGCCTTTACAGATCCAGCAGATGCTTCCTCCGCAGCACTTTCTCAGCTCTCAGACGTCAAACTTGTGCTCAGCTCTGCACGGAGATCTGCCTTTCTCTGTCCATGAATCACGCAGCGGACGCCGCCGCCGCTGTGCCTCTGCCATCCCAGCCTGACAGATGCCATGGCAACGGACACAAACAGACCCTAACACACAGGCGCTGTGGCCGTCGGCCTGGCTGTCACCTTCATTTCCGCAACAAAGAAACCCACTGTCGTAGGAAACTCACGACAGAGATTCCAGACACAGAGGATGAAGAAGAGAAAACAATTTCATTCCTTCAACAAACTGTATGAAAACCGTGGGGTTTATATTTGGCAGATATATTCAAACCTCTAGTGCAAGTTTAATATCTTAAGACGCTGCTCTGAATTCTGTATAATTTTGTGTCAAAACATCCCAAAATCACATTCTTGATTCATGACGCTGAGGCCTCCCAGTTTATTTCCAGGCCTCATCACAACAGATGCAGCATGCAGGCAGTAAACGTATTTATAACGCGCTCATGTCGGTTTACACAGCAGTTAAAGTGAAACATTGCCAGGTATTTGTCCTCATCAAGCAGGAGCGGAGGAGTGGGAAGTTGGAATCATTTCCCACCCCTTGAAGA